CTTGACAGTAGCGAGAAGAGGTTCCTTGTGTCCCACAAAACTTTCAACCCTTTTCTGCACAAACCCATTGGTTTTATGTTCCCAATATAAAATGCCAAGGAACTTTCTCATGCATTTGTTCGCAAATGTTTGGATCCTTCTCTCTGTATCTGCTAACAGTGTCCATTTTTCACATCCATAGAGGAGAATGGAGACTACCAGTGATTTGTACAGTCCTGTATTTTGTTTGAAAACTGATTTTGCTCCTCCATATTTTTGTCAATTCAGCCATAGCAGTGATGGCCAAATTGACAAGATATCAACATTACATCAACACTTATTCAATAGTTACGGAATGGGTGCATTTAAGTATTTCAGCAGTTTAAAAAAAGAAAAACTAATGTCAGGTGATCTGTCTAGTGATTTAAAAAATTATAATAAGGTTCTTACACTGAGCATAAATTAATTTAATTATTATTATTTCCTTTTTAAACACTGTTTCTTTCCAAAGGAATCTGTTGTGTTACTAGATGTGCCATCATTGAGAGAATAGTTCTGGGCATAAATAATTAATAAATGCAACCTGTGAGATCAAAGTTTTCATAAATGTTTAGTCACAAAGAAATATTTGATAATGTGTAACCTTCATACCTACAAAAAATAAAAAAAAATATGGCAAAAAAAAAATAAAAAGGTTGTGTAATGGGGTTGAATTTGTGTATGTTCATGTAAGTTACCCCATGTTGTATTTTTGTAGTTGATAGAGGATTCTTTTTCTCTATTTTATTCAGAAAATGAAATGAATAAAATATATGATAATAATATACAACAATAAGACTTTGAGACACGTGTTGAAATTAATGACAAGATTGTGTATTTTTCTTTTTGTGATATTATTTACAATATTGGTTTTGTGTGTGTTAAATGTTCTCAGGGTTATTGTCATTTTTGTTTCTTTAAAATTTGGGCTGGCTTGTTTATAAATGTTTTGAAAATTTTGTGGTTAGGGAAATCTTTTGAAACCGTCAACTCTGGATTTTCATGGAGTGAAGAAGATACGTCTGTGTTGTTCTTTTTATTACTGCTACTTTTGCTTGTGATGGAAAAGTCGTTATTATAATGATGAAGTTTTTAGATCTTTATTTCTAAAATGTTGAAATATCATCATCATGAATTGTCACTGATGGAAAGGCTGTTTTTAAAATGAGGAAATTTCAAATCTCTATTTCTAGAATGATGAAATATCATCATCATCATCATCATCATCATCATCATGAATCATAACAGACGGTTATTCCCCTGACACCTCTATTATTTTTTTTTTTTTACACTTTTGACTTCCTTGGCAATGTTTATTATTTTAAAAAGCAATGATTAGAATTTTAATAAAACCCAAACATATGAAAGTAGATTTATACATTTTCTTTATTCTTGAGAATTGACAACAAAGATGTTAAACACTATTTGTTAGATTGCTTATTTACACGGATAATTTTATATTTGCAAAATTATAAAAACATGTGAATTACCTAATGAAATATTTATTATTTAACATTTTATGAAGAAATAAATTTAAACATGAAAAAAGACTTTTTTATTCATAAATTTATTAAATTGTCTAATTGAATAAAAAAATTATATTTTCCAGGCATTTCTATCATTTGCTCCCATCACATAAATTCAGTGAAATAGTTTGAGAACATCTGTTCCTCTGAACTAAATATTCTTTTAATATTAAATTTTAGGCTGGCCATAAACAGTTAATATTTTCAGTGTGTATCTTTCTATTCATAGGGTGGACAATGTTTTTGCTAGGTATATTTACAGAATGTAATTTTTACCACAAATATTGCATCATAAAAAAAGAGAATATATCAATTAAGGAAGGATCCATGTGGGAGTTTGTTTTACAAAGTAATGCTTCTAATGTGTAGGTGAGTGTGTCTATGCTTAATTGCATGTGTGGACAATTGTCTATGTTTAATCTATTCATATTAGGTAACATATTGCCGAGTGCTGCAAGAGATAGAGGGAGGTGGAGAGCCATGATCACCTGCGTCCTGAAAGGACGTGGCACATAAAAAGAAAGAAGGATATTTGTCCGTGTTTTAATCTATTCATGTTAGGTAACAAAAATAATGTGTGTGAAAGTTAAAACTATGAATATAATAAAAAAATCTTCTCAATAATTCTAGATTGGGAATAATTTACAACTAACATCCTCGACCCCCCCCAGTTAGTGTAGTTATTAGGTTTTTATTTGGCATAATCTAGGTGTAAGTGCAAATAATCTGTTTATCCAGACCTGTATACCCCCACCACCATATATAACTTAATAAAGAGTCAACAAATATAATCATTATCCATTGAATAAAATGAAATATTTGGCAATGTTTAATCTTTGTGCTTGCAAAAAAAAAAAAAAAAAAAAACTGTGTTAAAAGGATGGTTATTCCCTTGAAACTTATTATTGTATGCATTTTTGACTCCCTTGGAAATGTTTACTTACAAGATTGTAAAAATATGTGAACCAAGTACAATGTGATATTTACCGTTTTATAAAGATTTATTATTTACCTTTTAATAAATAAATTTGAAAAATCTTTTTATTCTAAAATTTATAAAAAATTACAAAATTATCAAAATATATAAACCAACTACAATGCAATATTTGCAGTAAAAATTACAGATATTCTGTTATTATACACAAGGAAAACTTTGTTCAGCCAATTAATAGGAAGGACTCAGTGGAAAAGGTCCATGTTTCATGCTGATGCTATCATTTTATTCAGGAAATACACATTGAAAACGAGAAACAAATAACAGATATCTCTTTCAAAAGAGGAAATGGATAAATAAATTACATTTCAAAGAAATACACAAAGAAGGAAAACAAATTTAAAACAGAAAAAAACAACAATTTGAAAAACTCAAAATGATAAAAAGAGACACATGGTGCCTTAGAGTAGAATTTCAGACTCAAGTACTTTATACTTATATATATACATATCTATCTATCTATCTATCTATCTATCTATCTATCTCTCTCTCCCTCTCTCTCTCTCTCTATATATATATACTTAGAAATAGTAGGGAGCATATAATTAGTGTACTGCTTCTTAGACCAGAATTAGCTAAAGAACACATGGTAGTGTTGTGGGATGCTAGTATGTTAGTGTAAATATTTAGTTATCATGATGTTGCGGTAATCAACACTTTGGATAGTAAATATTTATGAGCTCCTGGAGCATTTATCCCACAAATAATATTGGCAGACTCATTGTGAGTCCAATTAAAAAATGACTAACACAAAACAATAAATATAAAACAAATAACAATGCTTGCATTTACAAAAGGAATTACATGTGAAGAAATGAAAAAAAAAGATGACATTAGTTTGTCGGAGCTAACTCCTCCTTTAGTTCATTAACCCTTTCACCAGGGGTCCCTCTTCCCTGGCTATAAATAGTCGCTGACCCTTCACCTCTTCCTCTTTTTCCCCTCAGGCCTTTGAGCCGACACCTGGAGGTAAATGTCTCTTTTTCCCTCAGGCCTTTGGGCCGACACCTGGAGGTAAATCTCTCCTTTTCCTCAGGCTTTCAGCCTTATTACCTCGAAGATGTGAACGCTCACAGGGATAGCGTTTCCCAAATGCTGGGAACACGCTAAGCACAATACACACACACACACACACATATATAATATTCACACACACATTTTGTCCTTTGTAACTGTTTCCATGTAACTTGTTATTAATACATATATTTGTATACATATATTATTGGTCTTGTGTTTTGTTTGTTTTTCTTTGCCTTCTTCTTTGGACTTAATTAAAAGTCCAACTTTCTCATGTAGTTAGGCCAGCTAGCAGGAAAAATCTGAACCCACATGTGTTCTTCTACGTCTACTCAACAACATCACAGCTATGGTCCACTACAAGTTATAACAAGAATGTGCTTGTGTGTGTGTGTGCATAATGAGTGTATGTGAGAAAGTAGAAAAGTCAAAAGAGAAAATCATGAAAATGAATGTGTCCCAGTGAGGGACATTTTTACCTCAGCAGGTGCATCATCAAGTAAGATCTTACAATATCAAGCAATGCCTATGGTTGAAATCATTTTTGTACTGCCTGTGGGTCAACCCCACTCAATTAAAAGCAATAATAAGAAAAGAAGATAAAGTCTACATAATTGGTTTCTGGTGAGCTTCAGGTGTTACTCAGAGTATTCATTTTCCTGGTAGAATACCTTAACGAAGGTATAGACATATGACAGTTCTCCACTTCTCGTGTAGATAGCTTTTTGCAACTTATCCCATCACCCAGGTCTATCAGCCCTCGTATAGCCCAGGTTTGGCTCCCCGTGAATCACTATCAAAAAGGAAGAGATTTCAAATCGTGGATGAGATTAAGGAGAATATGGTTTGGATACCTAAATAAGATTTTGTATACTGCTTTGAAAAATGGAAAAGATGTGGGGATAAGTTTGTGACGTGCCAAAGGAAGTACTTTGGAAGGGACTAAGGTGCCATTACCCTAGGTAAAGTACTTTTTAATTTGATATTCAATAGTGAAATCATTTCTGAATAGGCCATAAATATTTTACTTTGATGTACATTCTTAAATACACAGAAAATCTTTTCTATTAATGTGATGATGTGATTTTACTTATAGAAATAAATAAAAAGCTACAAATATAATCACCAATGATTCTTGTTTGTTATTTTAATATTGACTATTGATAAGTATATTTTGCAGTGTTACCTTCATTATTAATAGACTTGGCCCGACTGAAACGTTCGTGATTTATATATTAGAAATCATAAGCATAAAGAATTAACGTTTAAAAGGGAAACAACCTATGTAAAAAATAAATTTAAATTACCTCCCTTGAAAGTAAAGCAGACATTTTATTTTTTAAGGTATGGGACGAAACATCTTACACAGTTTACAAATTCAAAAGCTAATGTTTCAGCATTCAATAATTTATAAATCTGGTTAGCATTCATTTGCAAAGGGTTACAATTTGAGAGAGGGGGGTGGGGAAGAAGGAAGAAATAGATAGCGCGAGAAGGAAAGAGACAAAGATAATTACAAAGAAGATAAATAGAGAGGGAAATAGATAGAGCAGAAAGTGCAGAGAGAGAAAGAGAGATAGGAAAGATAATTGAAGGAAGAGGTAAGAGAGAAAAGAGAGTAGGGAAACAAAAAAGGGAGAGAGAGAGAATATTCTATAGAGACAGGAAGGGAGAAATGAAACAAAGAGACAAAGAGTGAAAGAATAAGAGATAATATTAAATAAGAAGTGGGAACTGAAAACTTAGCCTAATGAAGACGACCTTTCAACAAGAAAAGAAAATCAATATTAATATTTGGCCATTTGTTCACATTTGGGGAATGGCTCAAATTGAGAATCTTTTGGTTGGCACTGCTGGTGGAAAAATGGAAATGGCGGGGGAGGGAGGGAGAGAGAGAGAGACTGATGGGAGGAAGAATGCAAACTTGAGTGAAAAAAATATAGAGAAATGATGGATCATTTTTTGATAAAAACAACATTAAAAATATTAAATCAAAGAATAAAAAACAAAGAGAAAAGAAATTAAACCAACGAATGAAATAATAAATTCTGAAATAAAATATTAAACAAAGAAAATTATTCTCTGAATTTCTGGCATGAGGAGTTATTATTTACGTTATCTAAATTCGGACTATTGTCCTCATCTTTGTTGTTCCCAATTGTTGTGTTAAGCGTTTAGTGGCAGAACAAAGAAGAAACAATGAAGGTTTAAAGAAATAAACAATTGCATTAACGTACAATACAACAAATGATAAATCAGTATAGATATCTCTCGTAATAAAAAAGAAGTTGAGTTGTAAAAGGTGTCAGGGGAGGCATAAGGAAAGTGAGGGAGGATGTGTTGTGATTTACTGTGGGGAAGGCCTTTGGTGAGTTGACTTTTGGAGATGGGAAATCGCTTTCTGATGAAATTTGTGAACCCAGCCCAAGATGCCATCTAACTACCAAAAATGACCCTTTGATGGGCATTTATCTCTTTTCTTTTATTTCTTTTTCTTTTCTTTCTTTTTCTTTTATTTCTTTTTCTTTTCTTTCTTTTTCTTTTATTTCTTTTTCTTTTATTTCTTTTTCTTAGGCTCATATTGGCTCTGATTTTTTTTTTTCTTTAGGTGGGAGTGAGTGTTATTGGGTGGAAATTCTGATTTGTATTTTTCTTTGAGTATTAATGTAAAATACAAGAAAGGCTAAATCGGTGTCAATGTCTCTTATTGAAAGAAAGAGATAAGTTGTAAAAGGTGTTCGGTAAGGCAGAAGAAATGAGAGGGAGGATGAGTTGTGATTTACTGCGGTGATGGCCTTTGGCGAGCGATCTTTTGTAAATATGGGGTCACTTTCTAATGAAGTTTGTGAACCTGGGCCAAGATGTTGTTCAATTGCCAAAAATGTCACTTTGATAGGCTTTTATGTTCTTTCTTAGGCTTAGATCAACTCCAGTTTTTATTTTGTTTCTTTAAGCTGGAGTGGGTGCTTGCTATTGGGTGAAAATTCTGGATTGTATTGCTAATTTTTCGAGCCTGTGAGTAAAAATGGAAGCTATGTATGGAGCCTATGTGCAGTTGTTGGAATTTTAGTTCAGTTTTGAGCGTTGGAGCATTCACATCCAGCCAGTGGTAGAAATTAGTGTAGCATGAATTAGAAGATCTGGTTTTAGGAAGAATGTAACACGTTTCAGCCGTTGTGCCCTCTAGCCTTCCCCAGGTCAGTAGCATGCAGAAGGTGGGGTGGGAATGGACAGAGGGTGCAACGACCTTGGGCATCCATATTGAGAGGGCATCCAGTCAAAGAGTGAAATAAAAATTTAGTTTTTGAAATTTTAAATTGTCTCTTAACTCCATTGTACAAGTGCTCTACAATCCCACAAGTTTGTGGGATTGTAGAGCACTTGTGGATCCGTGTTTTGATAAGTGAGACCAGAGTAGGCTCCCTTACTTGAGTCTTAGGGACATACAATCAAAGAGTTGGCCACAGACATCACCAAAACCGCTGCACATCACAGCTTCAGATGTATATTGATCTAAGTAACCTATAGTGAATTCTGAACTGAACCCTTTATTTAATCTATGTGAGTAGACTGGTTAGGGCTATTGTTCAGTTATTCCTTGCCCATTTTCACTGAGTGCAAGTACACACTGCCTAATCCAGGGATTGAACTCACAACCAGTATGTCACCAAATTCACAAATCAACATTTTTGTCCTGAATACTACTAAATAAAAATAAGAACTAGATAAGATATCCCTAGATATGAGCAGTGGAATGAGAACAGTCTTCCCCCAGTGGATTAAATAAAGGTTCAGTTCAGAATTCCCTGTCGGTTACCCAGATTGATATATACCTGAAGAAGGCCGAAGGGCACAATGGCCGAAACATTGTGATAACAAAAAAAATGAGTATAATAGTCTGAATATTGTAGTGGATCATGTGGGTTTACGTGTTGTTAAATTAAGAACATGTGAGTTTATTCCTGCAAGAAGATGGTTTAACTACAAGAATATGTCGGACTCAGAGATTGAATCCACCATGAAGAAGTGTAAAGAAAACCAACAAGAAATATATATATATATATATATATATATATATATATATATATATCAACAAATATATGTATTAAACAACATGATTTACAATGGACATAGATATTAACATTTGTGTGTGAATGTAAAGAGTTTGTATTTCGCTGAATGTTCATACATACGTGTATGTGTATTTCATGGCATTTTCCCACAAGTGGGCAAAATGCTGATCTTTGTGAGAGATCACATTTTGTAAATGTGTCCGCTGAAACGCAAAGCAAAAAGAGAATGAGGCAAGAAATCACCCAGTATTTATAGTGTAGGGAGAGCGACCACTAGTGAACAATTAGGAAATTAAGGAGGAGTTAACTCTGACAATATAAATAGTGTAAATACAGAAAAAAATGTATAAAAGTAAAATATTAAATGGAACAATAAATATTAAATAAGGTATTGACAAAATAGTAAAAAATGTACCTTCAAATATGGATTAAAATATTAAGAAAAATACAAAAATACTAAAGAAATTTGTAAAAATATTTTAATGAATATTGAATAAAAAACTTTTAGGCACCTCCACTGAATTTTCAATACCTAAGTTTTAAAATTAAATTTATAAATGAAAAAGCATTCTTGAAGATTTCATTCTCATTTTAATTGAAAGCTAAATGATTAAATTTATTATTTCAAGTAAGTAAAATATTCTGGTATATTTCAGATAGAAATTATATAGATTGGAATGTCAAATAATTGCTCGATTTTTGAAAATTTTTTTAAAAGCAGCCATTTTCTTAATTTTTAAACACTAGTACTATAATCATAATTTCACGAAAGATGTCATTTGTGACTCAAATAAATAAATAAATTAAAATAAAAACCATAAAAAGTACTGAGATAATTTTTAAGTAAAATATTCCATATATTGTATTACTTTGAATTAAGATAACTTTTCAATGAAACGGCTTTATTTTTTTTTTATACCAATCTAGAGAATTTTTAAGTAAAATCATCATTCATTTAGTTGAGATAGTTAAATATTTCCAATCGGTCCGTAAAAATCAAAGTTTTGATTGATATTTTATTTTTTTTTTATGTTGGCAGACATTCTCCACAGAGAACAGTGGCGCTTAACAGTCTTCTTACTCGATTTAGCTCTTTGCTTTTCTCAACAAACAATATTAAATTTTGAGATGTCATTAGGTGATTTCATGTCAAAGGGAAATAACTCCAAATTATAAAAATCTGTTACGATTAATTGCCCTTGGATTAATAGCCATAAAGAATTTAGCATAAAATCAAACATACGGAAAATCAGTTTAGAAAAACCAATCAAATAATCAATGAGTTTAGAAAACCTTGCATTGTAATAGCAAACTCATTTACAAAGCTGTTTTATAGTAAAGTCATCACCAAAGCATTTGTACTAGGCGCATTGGGATAGTGAAAAATGACTCCCCAAAAAGCTAAGTATTAAAAGAAAAGTATTAAGAAACAGGAAAATGTTCGTTAGGAACAAAGAAAAGAGTGTTGAACGGTCACGGAATATCAGCCCTCCTATATGGCAGTGAATGATCGACAATCTCCTCACAGATGAAGAAGTGACTTGAAGCAACAGAAATGTGGTTATACAGAAGGATGTTGAGAATACCAGGGATCAAACATTTGAGTAATGTAACATTTAAGTTTTAGAGAAAATGGAAACAAAAAGGAAACTTATACATCAGTAAGAGGCAAATGAAATTTCTAGGGCACATAATGAGGAAAGAGTGCTTGGAAAATCTGATACTCACAGGACAGATTGAAGATAAAAGGGACAGAAGGAAAACATAACCTAGTTAGTGAGCTTGAGTAAATGGATGGTGGAACAAGGTTTAGGAGAAATAACAAAAAGATTAAAATTTCTCAAGAGCTATGAAGGAGAGGAAATTGTGGAGAGCCATGATTTCCAACATCCTGAAAGGCATGGCACAGGACAAATTGAAGGCAAGAGGGGTGGAGGAAAATAATGCATAACCTACCTACCGAGTGAGCTTGAGTAAATGGATGGCAGAACAGGGTTTAGGAGAGTTAAGAAAAGACAAAATTTATTAAGAGCTACAAAGGACAGGAAATTGTGGAGAGTCATGATCGCCTACATCCTGAAGGGACACAGCACATAGAAGAAGGCTGCAATTCTTGATCACTGACAGTCTTTCTTTGTGATTTAAAATGCATTTCTAGAAAAAGATTGACTATGAATTTAAATTGTACATATGATTTTTTTTTCAGTAATGCTTGCATTTATTTCTGTCTACTCACAATTCCTTTATTCTTGATTTTCAATGAATTTTTAACTTCTAGTAAAGTTGCTAAAAACGTATTTACATTGCACATAGCTCAATTCTATAAAAAACTTGCCTTAATTCCTGATTACTGATAAACATTTTTCCTTATTTTCAATGCATTCAAAGAGTAAAATATGTTAAAAATATTAGGAATAATATAACTAGATTTATTAACTTCAAATAATAATGAAGAGTAAGAGAAAATATTAGCGGAATTATTCAGTTAAAAGCAATAATTGTGAGTAATGTTCTTACTCACTTCCTTTGTTTATAGCAGTACTTGGAAAGAAAGTGTGTAGAATGTGGTCATCTCACCACACCACATGACAGTTGTATTTGGCTAAAAACTGCTGCACAAGCCATAGTCACTGATGGACAGTGACCATGTCTTGTGCAGCAGTTTTTAGCAGTTATTAGCCAAGTACAACAGCAGTTATTAGCCAAGTACAACAACAGGTTTTAGCCAAGTACAACAGTCCCAGGTCTGATAACCAACATATTCTTCAGTTCTTGTCCCTTGTGACTTTTTCCTTTTTCCAAAAATCAAATCCCACTTGAAAGGAACAAGACTTCAAGAGTTGAGGAATGCAATGAGACAGCTGCTCAGTCAGTCAGTTATGTGCCATGTCTGATACACGCTTAG